TAAACCAATTCCTTAAAAAATATGTTTATTGGTCACGTTGTAACCAACAGTTTAACGACACTTTAGTCTTTTTAGAGGAGAAATTTATACTGTGACATCCATGCTTTTGTTTTCTAAGGAGCCCCTATTTATAATGTTTTGAATTCAGAGAGTGAGATTATTCTAAGGGAGCTGTGGAAACTCCGACAGAGTTTCCCTGGCATTATTTGTGCTATATTTGTCCAGTGTTCATGCGGGCAGGGCAGGATTTGTTGTCTTTGCTTCACATTAGGTCTGGTATACTCTCCACTGTATGTTTTGTCTGGTTTGTTTTGATTGTTTGAATCAGTGTGAGGTCCCTTCAACAGAATCTAAACAGACATCAGCATGTTATTCCTGGCTCGTTCTAGACCTGTTTATTTTATTGAAATCGTAAGACTGTTAAGCAACACTGCATGTATAGTAATTCGGTCAAGCATACACATAGACGAGACGTGGAACTGTTTCGGCCTTCCATTTGGTGGGCACACAATTTTGGTGTACAGCGCTGATCTCTGGCGCCGGCTCCTGCATGCTGTAATGAGCTTTCAGAGTTGCTGATTGCAGATAAGCTTCCAAAAAAAAAAAAAAAAAAAAAAAATTCAGCGAGGGAAGGAAAAAAATACAAGAAAAGTTCCAATAATTTATTTATTTATTTGTTTATTATTATTTATTTTTTAATGTTATATAATATTTAAATGATTTGCAGATAAAGTTAAGATCCACAACAACCGCTTTGGCATTTGCAGACTTGTCATCGATCCCAGAAATAAATTAGACTTTTAACTATATTAAAACAGAAAACAAGTTATTTTAAATGCATGCTATATCTCAATTTTACTATTTTTTACAGGTGCATTGATCAAATAAACTAATTTAATTTTGAAAAACAAAACATGACAAAAAAATAGGACATCATATATTTGGCTTTATATTACATTATACAGTATGTTTTATATTTTATAATTTCATAAATATGTATTTTATATATGCTTTTGATTATTAAATGAAATAATTTGGGTAGCACTTCATTTTACAGTCCTGTTCCACAGTACTTTTAATAACTGCAGGTACTTAAGCCATGTAGTTACTTGTATTGCCCACTACTTTTTAGGTAAGTACACGTAAGTGCAAGTACTGTAAACTAAAGTGCAATTATTATTTGCATGTTAAGTAAAGATGTGCAACTGTTTTGGCCATGCAGAATTGTCAGCAACCTACCCATTCTAGTTCTACCATTCTTTGGATGGTTTGTGTTCATACAAACCTCAAACTTTATTGGAGTGCACATGAACTGTAACCCAAACCACGCTCATGTAGAGTCCCTAGCATGCATTCCTATAGTCAAACAGACACTGCTCTTCACCATAAGCTTCTCATGGCCTGTGGTCTTCTAATACACGCAAGTGTTTTCACAGCTAACTACAATATGGGCCAAGAATAGGCCCATGGGAACTGGATGTTTTGCTGTGTTTTGCTTGAAAAGATCTGAACCTGCAGCCACAGGAATGCATCCCTGCTGGTTAACGCTTCAGCAGCATCCAGGAGACAGTGAAGAAGAGATGGGAAAGGTAAAAAAAAGGAGAGTTAAAAAAAAACATATCAATTTGAAGGACAGCACGGCAATAGCTCTGTTTAGACAAAGGACAAAAAATGAAGAGAGACAGTGAGTTTGATTGATTGCATCTGCCTGCCCGCTTACTTTGCAGTGGTACATTGCTTGCATTTCAAAACAGTAGATAGACGCAAGCATGGACATGCTTTTGTGCTTCTGCTGTTAAAAAATGATTTTTGATTTTCACTTAATCCTCTTAACCCTTATCCACACATCTTGTTCGATATTTTTAGATTATTATTTTACCACTCTGTTTCTGTCCCTTTCTTGCTATCTTTCACTCCCTGATATTAAGAATGACATGTTCCCCAAGACACTGACATTTATTCTTTGTAAACTAAACCAGACAGTATTCATGAATTAGAATAAACCATGTGTTTATTTATTTTTTTCATATAGCTGATCATGAATGTCTTAAATGAATGTTACCTTATCCATATGCACAGTGTTAAAAATGATTAAACCAGGTAACTTTAAAGACATGTTGACCAACAAAGATGATCTCACTGTTGCAGAACTGAAACGGTTCTTAAAGTCGAATTTGCCCAGTAGCCTCTGTCTATCATGGCCTCTTAATCATCCCCATATACACCAATTGGCTTCATCACTGTCTCCTCTCCACCAGTAAGCTGGTGTGTGGTGAGCGTTCTGGCGCAATATGGCTGCCGTCGCATCATCCAGGTGGATGCTGCACATTGGTGGTGGTTGAGGAGATCCCCCCTTCTATGTGAAGCGCTTTGAGTGTCCAGAAAAGCGCTATATAAATGTAACGAATTATTATTATTATTATTATTATTAACGAGAAATAACGGCAATATCAGAATGGACATTAAGCCTTACATCTCTGACGTGACAGTGACTGATGACTTCATCTTAGAACAGGTTACTAAATCAGCTAATGAGGAAGCAGAGAGACAGAAGCGTCTTAGCACTGTACATTAACACAAACTCCTGACTGTTTGTTCCTCCCAGTCCAAGGATGATAGTGAGAAAAGCTATCGCACTGCCTTAATGGAACTGACAGCTCAGGTTTCTGCTCTCACTAAAAACCTTGAAAAGATGATGAGACCCTCTGTTGCAATTGCAAGCCAAACTGCCACACCATTAATGAATGTTAAAGTTTCAGACAAACCTGAAAGCAAGCATAGATGTGATGACTGCATCCAGCGAGGAAGCCAGGACTGCTGCCATTGTTTCCGCTGTGGTCAGGAAGGACACAGAGCGGTTGGCTGCCTGAAGAAGGGAACGAAGGTGGGAAACGGGAGACGGTCACTGGTACGGGACAACCAGTGACTCCATCAAGCTGTCCGTCCCATGTAAAGGTAAACCGTCCACACCATCCTGAAAATTTGAGTCGGAAAAATCATCAGTCACCAAAAAAACAAGCAGCACAACTGATTGGCAGAAAATGTATGCTGTCATGTTGGTTAAATGGGGTTCTTACTGAAATGCTGTTGGACACAGGGGCTCAAGTAAGCATGGTAGGGAAGAAATGGTTAGAGAAGTTCCTTCCAAATGTGCCTATTAAGCCTATAGAAGACTTACTTGCTGACCAGCAGCTTTACATTACTGCTGCCAATGGCTGTGTGATTCCATTTGTTGGATGGATTGAAGTACTCTTTGAACTCAAAAGTAGTGGATCTGGAACCGTTTCCATTCATGTACCAATGCTAGTAAGCGACTGCTGTAATGACAATCCACTTCTGGGTTTTAATGTTATTGAAGAATTGATCAGAGAAAGCAGTGACCAGCCGAACAGCACAGAAAATCTAACCATTCTGCTGAGTAAAGCAATGAACGTAAGACAGAGCATAGCTAACAACATTGTCAATAAAGTGGTTCAATTAGCAGATTCAGGGGAAATATTGGACAGTTGTGTGGTAAAAGTTGGGAAGAAAGGACTCACAGTTAACCCTTTATGACCTGCCATAGAACAGTTCCACCAGAGTATATCTTTCTATTTTTACATGCTGTGCTGTCATTCTTTTGAGCATTTTCACATGCCATACATCAAAATAATCCTTACTTTCTCTACTTGAAGGCTATGTTTGTAATAAATCAATAGTACCTAGATAAATATCTCAAAAATGCAATAAACAAAAAGAAAAACAATTTTTTTGAAAAAAAATCTCCATATTTTATTCAATACAAAAAAATGATAAATGTAAACCTCAAACTTGTCAATGAGAAAAATGTGCATAAAACAGTTTAAAACTATACAGAATTGATTTGAACTGTTTACATCACTTAGTTTTTAAGATACACTCATTTAAAAAAGGGGAGTAAAATGCCATATGTAAAATATTCAATTACATTTGTGGTCAAACAGATAACATTTTGCTTTTGAACATTGATTAAACATTGAATTGGTTAGAATATAAATTAAATAGACCCTGTCAGAACAATTAATAATAAAATAAATATAAAATAAATAAATAAAGGCGATGAGCAGAAGGAATTCGGTGCGTCCGTGTACTTTCATTTTGACATAACGTTGCGCGCATGCGCACACGTGTGTGTGTGTGTGTGGGGGGGGGGGGGTGCGTGTGTGTGTGAATGTGCTTGTATTTGCGAGTGTATAAACGAGAAAGAAATGATAGAATGAAGCAATGGTAAAAAAGACAATAATGATAAGAAGGAACATATAGCAGATGGGAGTCAAGTGCGAGTCAAACCTATTATATATTCAGTCAAACGCATGGCCAAAAGACGCTGCTTCTGACGTCACTACATGCGACACAAGCTGGGGTCAAAGTGCACAGGAAGTGATGTCGTGATCAGTCCATGGATCCGTCATCGGAAGACGCAACTACCAATTGCGGATCTATAGCACATGTGTGCAAAGACGTGCAATGCATTTTTGTGTGTTTTTTTGGAAACGCGCATTGTAGACTTGGAATTAAAGCCTCTTGTGTTTCCCCGTTATTATTCAATTTACGGGACCGGACACCAGTTATCTTGCCAAGAAAGTTTTATTATATATTATATATGTCAGGAGAGAAACTTCAAGATGTTGTGTTCATGCCTGGTCTATGCGTTTCTCCATGTTCCTCTACCCTCTCACCCGGTCATGCCTACATGTTTCTCTAAGGGTGGTACAATGTGACATTGAGTTTTTATACATCACACAGTCTTACAGCTTCCTTGTAAGGTAACAAACATGTTGCTCTGAGCTTCTCAACTTAGAACGTAAATGTCATACGTGCGCTACTTTCCTTGTTGTGTACATCTGTGGTACACTTGCATCAGTGGAAACATTTATGCTGAGTGAACATGTTACATGGCACACATACCTCTCTGAGCAATATATAGCTTTCCCCTGACATATGTTCCTCATGCTTTTAACTCATGCTTTTTGAAACTCCAAAAGGATAATACAGTGATCATGAAAACTAATAAAGAATAATAATACAGATACATAATATTTAATAATGAAATAATATTAAAAGATGAAATTTTAGTCTTCATCTCCCTCCACTGGAACTACGGCCGTAAGTTCCACACCATCATTCCCAGGTGGCCAACCTATAGAAGTGATAGTGAGGAGAAGAAATAGCAGACCAAGAAAATAGACAGAACGAACAGAAGAATAGAAAAGGAAAAACAAAACAAAGAACAAAAAGAACAAAACCCCAACCCGTGTTATGTCCCCGTATACTATGTGTGTTTTAATAGCTATGTGTATGTATTTAAAATGAACCCCAATCATCTAAGAAAAGAAAAAACTAATAAGTCTTCTGCTCGTGCCTGGACTCATTAATTAATTAACTCGTAACTAATTAAATCCCCAGTTCCGAGCCAAAATAAGAAATTAAAATAAACGTTGATGTAAAAGGGTCCTATCCCTTGGGGTTGAGAATCAGTAAGCGGGTGTTCATTGTTTGTGAGGTAATGCTTTGTAAGGAATAATGCATACATTTCCCTATTTCACGCTGTATACTCCATCCTTGGTTTTATCCATTTGGTTAGAAATAATCAGTTTGACAGATTTGGTATTTCTTTTTCTAGTAACACATATCATAATTTGAATCATGAACATGACTGCAAGAACTCCTACCATGATCAAAACTATCCAATCTGACCACGATAAATTCCCTAGGATTCGTGTTAGTTTCTTTTCAGACATCAATTTAGCTATTCCATTTGCTACTATAACATGACCCATTGCTTGAATTCCCTCGTCTTGAGCTGCTTTTACACTCTTTCTAACTATTTTAACCATCTCAAAGAGTTCATAATTCCGTTCTTCTACTAAGTCATTATTCCACCATTGTGGTTCTACCTGTAACAATTGCACATGTGGAACATGATTTCCACCCAAATGAAGAGGATAGAGAATTTCAAGACAAAATGGATCAGGAGGGATTGGACACAACTTTCCCCCGTATATCATATTTTCACTTGTTCCATCATGTAATATACACCACTGCGCTTCTGAAAGTTGCCATGCACCTGTGGCCTGACTCAAAGGAACTACATCCCAAACAGCAGAACCATTAAGAGATAGACTAAACATTGTAGAGCATGAGCAAATTACCCACTCATGTTCCTCGACACAACAGTCTGTGGTAGAAATCATTGGTGTATCACCTTCAGCCCAATATCCATTTCTTCCTAATCTAATTACTGAATTACCTTGCCTAACACCCATTGATTGGAATTTCCTGACTGTCATAATATTACGCTTCCCATATTGAGGCCATATCATAATCAAAGGTAACATTCCAGAACCTGACAATGAATTTTCATTAATAGCGATTTTAACTAATGGAATATGTTTAGCAGAAGTCAAATTAAGTTGATTCCTGAAAACCACTAACAATGATTCTGCTATTCGCTCAGGAACTTGTCCCATTCGAATAACTTGAATATCTTCTACCATTTGATCCTTTAAATTCTGAGCTAAAAATAAACACGCCGCACGATGCGTCTCAAAATCAGACGATTTTATTAATGCATCTGCCAATTCCTTTGCAGCATCATTAAGATGCTGACCCGCTGCAATAATATGCAGAGAACCCTGAAGAGCCTCAGTGAGTCCTTTCCCACTCATTGTTCCCACCCACTGAGTGTATTTACTTAACTGATTCATTTGAGCAGTATTACTGATTGAATTGACAGAACCAAATACCCCCGCAATATCTCCCCATATACTTCGAGTTTTACGATTTTTTCTACTCAGAGGATTTTTAGAGGTGTAATATTTAACTTCTTTTCCCAACCAACTTCTTATTTGTGTAAAATTACCACAATAAGACTGATCAAAAACGGTAAGAAGAGAATTCAAGTTATAATTAATTCGTTGTTGCACCATATGGGCTTCATTTATCAAGGTTTTGGTTTCTTTTGCTAACAAAATACCATGAGCTGGTGCAATGGTTGTATTTGGGCATGTTTTTGCTTTGTTTGTCTTCTCCGCAGAAAGATAAAAACACCTTCCGATTTCGCCAGTTTCTAGTTCAGTCTCACAATATTCACTCTCATCTTCTGAATGCCATACTCGTACATAATTTCCCTTAAATCTTGTTGTTTTTGAGGAAGGATCCCTCAGAAACCCTTCGCATGGCAACCCTATGGGATAAATACACCCTTGGGCCAATGAATCCCATATTGTAAGCATGTGGGTACGATTCAGAACTAAATTAATTTCCACATTAGTAGATGTTATGAGGTTTAACCCTATAACTTCACATCGTTCTCTTGCACAAATTTCTCGTCTTTGAGCACTACCAGTATACCCCCCGTCTTTTACCGGCCAAATTACTCTGCTTTTGTAACATTGGTGGTAAAAGTTACATCCTCCATAGATGCCCTTACGATATTTAGCAAGGTCTGTGTCATTACGTGGCACCCAATCCCATAATCCCCATCTGGAAATAAAGGGTAGGGTAAAATGTTGACCAGATTTCAGAGTTGCACTCCGAGTGATCTCTTGAACTCGAGGAGTCCATAAAGCGTGGCTTTCTTGACAAATGCCAAGTAAAGTTAAAAATAAGCATACCATCATCGTTGGGTATCGAGAATAACTTGCAACCATCTCTAATCAATGTCAATGGAATTGATTCCTGAAATGGAAGCAAAGGAATAATTAGCATCACTTCTTTGTTCCCAATCTTTAAAAATAATGGATGAACATTGCTCAATCTCAGGCCATAAGCCATCATTATCATCTTGTTCATTCACTAAGCATGGTTTAACTTGTGACCAATGATACCATCTATCTGTTCCTACACCTTTCCCTTTGAGACAAACACTTGTATCTGTTGTTAAGAGTACCTCATATGGCCCCTCCCACCTAGGTTCTAAACCTTTCCTGGGAATACGTTTGACCATAACAAAACTGCCTAACTCGGGAATGTGTGGAATGTCAGTAGTGGTATGTTTTTCATCCCATTGCTGTTGAGCTTCTCGCACTTTCTTATTATTGTCTTTGATTGCTTTGTCCAGCATTGTGAGATAACGTCGTAACTTCTCTTGGAACAAAGTAGAGTCTCCTCCTGTTCCCGCAGGCGGCGGAGCATCAGGAGGCAGAACCATTGCTCTTCCAGTCATCAGTTCAAAAGGAGTCAGTCCCGTTACTCTGTTCGGGGTTGCTCTCAGATTCCACAAAATTGCGGGTAACAACTTATGCCATCCTTGGCCAGTTTGCAGAATGGCCTTGGTAAGAGCGGTTTTCAACGATCTGTTCATCCGTTCCACTAGGCCTGAAGACTCAGGTCTATATGGGATGTGAAACTTCTGTTTAATCCCCATCAATTTCATTGCTTCCTTCATCAGTTTTCCAGTGAAGTGAGTTCCATTGTCAGAATCGAGCTCATATGGAAGACCCCAGCGAGGAAAGACTTGTTCAACCATCACTCGTGCGGCTGCTTCAGCAGTGCAGGTTTTTGTTGGGAATGCTTCCACCCATCTAGTAAATCTGTCCATGATTACTAGAATGTATTGGTACCCTCCACTGGGTGACAAAGGTCCTGTGAAATCGATTTGGAGATGTGTCCATGGACCTGTTGGTCTGGGTGCATGTGACATCCGCACCTTTACAGATTTTCCAACATTTGCTTTCAGACAGATCAAGCATCTTCTACAGTAATCATCAATGTCTCTCATCATTCGTGGCCACCACCACGTCTCGCTGATTTGAGCTTTCATTGCTTTTGCTCCAGCATGTACTTTTCCATGATACAGCTGCATTAGTTCCCTTCTTGTTCCGATAGGCATCACCACTTGTCCTGTTGGAATTCTCCAGATAGCTTGATCATCCTCTTTCGCTCCCGCTTTTATCCATTGTTCTTTCTCTTCATCTGTCTCAGTTTGATATGACAGAAGGCGGAGCTCAGGATTATCTTCGGTGTTTTCCTTTACCAAGGTAACAGGAGTAAGAGGAAGTAGTGCTGCTTCTCTGGCCGCTGCATCTGCTGCCGTGTTTCCTTGACTTTCTTTGGATTTGTCAGATTGATGTGATTTTACTTTGATCACGGCTGCTTCTCTGGGTAGGTGACATGCTGCAATCAAACGACGAATTATGGAAGCATGTTGTATTTCGCTCCCATTGCTGGTGATAAGTCCACGTTTTTTCCACAGGGCAAGGTAGTCATGGACCACTCCAAAAGCATAACGACTATCTGTGTAGATGTTGACTCGTTGTCCTTCCGATAATTCGAAAGCTTCTGCAAGTGCTATGAGCTCAGCTACTTGTGCTGAAAAATGCCCAGAAAGAGCTCCTTTCTTCACGACATTTCCATCAGCTTCCACTACAGCCCATCCAGTATGTCGTTTTCCATCAACATAGTAACTGGATCCATCGACCCATAACTCCTTGTCTGGATTTTCAAGAGGTGTTGGATTAACAGGACCAAGACTTTCTTCTTCTACTTGTTTTTCACACTCATGTGGTGTTCCCTCGTGTGGTTCGATCATCATTGTTGCAGGGTTAAGGGATGTGTCTCTGATGATTTCCACTCTCAAATCCTTGTTCAACAAAGTTGCTTCCCATTTTGCTCTCCTTGCATCAGTAATGGTCTTGATGTTTGTGTTGTTCAGCAACGTCACTATACTGTGTGGAGTATGCAATATGATTGTTTGTGCTCCTATCAAATTTTCCACAGCATCCACTGCCCATGTGGCACCATCGAGAGCTTGTATACATCGTGGTTGACCAATCATTGTAACAGGAATCTTTGTGGAAAAGTATCCAACTGGTTTGTATCGATCACCTGGTTTTTGACACAGTACTGCTGAGTACGTCTCATCTCCCACCCTGGTCCACAAATGAAATGGCAATCGTCCATCAGGAAGTCCCAAGGCTGGGGCTGAAGTCAGTTTTTCTTTCATTGAAGTAAATGCTTCCTCAGCTTCCGGTGTCCAGTTTATCTGTTCCATTCCAGGCTTTCCTCCCTTGTACAAGTCAATGAGGGGACTGGTGATGCTGGCAAAATCAGGAATATACTGACGACAATAGTTGAAAAGTCCCATCACTTTCCTCATTCCTGTAACTGTTAGAGGTTTTGGAAGTTGCCGTAATGCCTCCACACGCTCTGTTGTCAGTCTCCTTCCCTCGACAGATATTTCTTGGCCCAAGTAGATAACCTTGGTTTTGGCCAGCTGTGCTTTGTCGGGGTTGACTTTGAATCCTCCTTTCTTAAGGGCTTGTAGGACAATATTCAGAGCAAATATGTGGCTGTTTTCATCTGGGCTTGCAATTAACAAGTCATCCACGTATTGGAGGCAAACACTTCCTGAACTCTCGATTTCAGCTTTTTGCTCAGTTAAGAACTGATCCAAAGTTCTGTGAAATACCACAGGAGAAATATTAAGTCCTTGTGGGAGTCTGTTCCAGACATACTGTTTTGCACCCACTGTGAAGGCAAGTTTCTCTTGAGATTTTTCGTCAATAGGTATAGACCAGAAAGCAGACAGTACATCTAGTACTGTGAAAATTCTTGCATTTCCTGGAATATCATTCAGAATGGTGGCAGGATTGGCCACAATAGGATGCGGTTTTGGTGTTACACTGTTGAGTCTTGTGTAATCAATGGTTAATCTCCATGAGTTATCCGATTTCTTGACAGGCCAGACAGGACTATTAGTGGTTGATGAAGTTTGTCTGATGATCCCTTCAGCTTCCAAGTCTGCCACTATCTCTTCCACGGCTCGTCTTGCTTCAGGTCGGATAGGGTATTGTTTATGAGGGGCATGTGTCGGCCCTTCAATAACAACAGGGTCAATGTTGGCTTTGCCACAATCAAATTTGTGTTTAGCCCAAACTTCTGGATGTAAACTGCACAGAAGACCCCACACACCGTCTTTGGTCCAGTCTCTGATGATTGGTTTTGCTGCACCAACTGAACTCAAATTACATGTGCGATCTTCGTGTGGTATTATCCCAGCTGTTGTAGCGATTTGACGACTGTCAGTGAAGATGATCATGTTCAACAATGGAAGTATGTCCATGCCAATGAGGCTTCCTTGTGAATTCGGTCCCACCCAGAAAGATGTCCATACGACTTCATCTTCATGTATTTGTAGTGGAACTTGGATACTTTTATGAAATGTTGTGATACCTCCTCCAACTCCTTCAACTTCCATAGTTTCATCTGTTGTAGGTAGGTTCAGATCTGTTATTGAAATTGATGCTCCTGTGTCAACCAGGATATCACATGGGTGGCCCCCTATTAATGCATTGATGAAAAGGCGATTGTCTCTTTTCTTACTAATACAGGGGGCCGCTGATTCCTATTGCGGACGCATAATTCCCTCTATGAGTTGACGGACTTGTGCGTCCGTCCATGTCTTCCCTTGAGAGGTTTCATCACGATTTTTCGCAGTGACTTGTTTAAATGATGGACCTTGACCTTCTGCTCCACCACCTTTAGCCCAGCAGTCTTTTCTTGAGTGGCCACGCTTTCCACAGTTGCCGCAAACAACAATCTTATTCTTTGTATCCATGTTGTATTGAGCTGTTGCCACTCCTTTTCGATTTGTCTTGTTTCCTTCTTCCTTGTTTGATCTCATCGCCATCTCTAGACGGCCAGCCCATTGCATAATTTGGTCATATGTTTCGCCTGGATTGACTCCAAGTGATAACGCTTGTTGGTATTTAGAGCTAAACCCATCCACAAGTGTGTCAGTGAATTGTTCATCATCTCTGTCAGGTTGTTTCTTAGCGCAGAGAGCCCATCTCTCATAAGTGTTCCACTTACGCAGAGCATATTCGTCTGGAGATTCATCATCCTTTTGCTTAATCAATGTCACTGAAGTGAATGGAATTTTACCGCTGCCCAAGATTTCTTGGATTTCTTTTCGGAATACATCTAATGTTTGCCAAAGACCCAGGGGTCGTCCTTGGCCATCAACCCACAAGTCTACCCATTGGGCTGTTGTTATCGACGCTGGCAGGCGTTCCCATCGGTCTCTTGGGATTTTAGCTTTCACAATGGTGTGAATGTCTCTTAGTGTCATTTGATGTGCTTCAACCAGGGAGTCTAATTCTCGCCAAAACTCTGTGTTTGGATCTTGTCTCTTCAGAGGAGGCAAGGCTGAGAGAATGGCTTGTCGTTCTCCCGGAGTAAATGGTCTCTCTTCTGTCATTAATTCAGATCCTTCCTTTTTAATTACTGGTGAAGAAAGTTCAGGACCGATCTTGTCAATTGTGATCATGTCGTCATCTCTTGTCTCATCACCCCAGTCGGATCTATAATTACAAGCTGGTGTACAGCGCAGCATGTCTCTGTTGGGATGAACTGTTTTAGATCTTGTTATTATTGGAGCTGCTTGTGCAGATGCAATATACATTTTGTCAACTGGACCATTTGATCTCAAAGCTTGAGGCTGCGTCAGAGGTTTAGATGAACTTGTATATTGTTCAGGCAAAGGTGGATAAATTGGGTTGTAAGGTGGAGGCGTTACTGTTGTCGCGGATTTCACTGGTGCTTGTGAATATTTCCTTTCAGCTTCAGTTATTATATTTGTCCAATCTGGATCAAATAAATTATCACTGGTCGTGTTTTCCTTCTCTGGACATGTGATGGACATAATTTTGTTTAATTTGTGGTATGCTTCAAATTGAGGCTTCATTGCTTCAAAAAGTGGGGCTGGACATCCATCAATGCCACAGAAGATTCCACCTTGTTTCACAATCCAATGAGCTGCCAGTATTGGAAATGCTTTTGACTTGATGGAGTCTTTTTGCGAATCAAACCAGCTTAGCTGCACATCCAAAGATGCATTAACATCCAGTCCTTTTTTCAAAAGCTTAGCTTGCTTTTTCTGTTTTCTTTTTAAATACCAATCAGCAATTGTTCGGCTGTTAAGACCACTTTCTGCCATTGCAAATTATTTGTCACTCTGTGACTGTGCACTCAAACAGCAGGGATATTTTGGGAGTGAGTGTGTGTGTGTGTGTGTGGATGTATATCTACTGTGCGTGAATTCCAAGGGGGGGGGTCCCTCTGCTTCTCCCTCTCTCTCTGCTTCTCTCCTTCTCTCCCTTTCGCCTTCTCTTATAACTCAAAGAACAAAGAAGGGGAAAGGAAAAAAAACAAAAAAACAAAACAAAGTTAACTCTAATAATTTGTTTTCTTTGTGTATTTGTTTGCTCTATTTTTTATTTTAAAATTTTATTTAGTTTATTTGAAGTTGCTCTCAGATCAAACTCTTCCTCTCAATACTGAACAGCTTATTGTCAAAATCGAAAAAACACACAATTCTAGCTCCTATTTCCATTGATACCCATCTTCTAAGGGCTCAATCAGCGTGTTTAAAATTTTAGGGCGCCTGTATTTCTAAATACGGAATCCTGTGCGTCCTATAGCACAGACCCGCCACTTTAAACCGCTATAAATCACCGCTTTGACACACTATCCTCGTTTTCTAAAACGATTCTTCGGTGTGTTGGAAATATTTTAGAGATTAATCTGCCATCAGTTTTACAGTCTCGCCATATTCCAACCACCTTCCAGTCATGCCAAGCAAATTGCTAAATTGCTTTACTGCTATTCCAAATATTTGACTAAATGGTCTTTTTTCTAAAAAAGATCCACTTTTCCTAAAGTCTTTTCAAAAATGAAAAAGACTTCCCCAGCATCATTCAATATTTCAGAGGTTTACTGAACAGAGCAACTCAAATAAGCCACATCAAATTCAAACTATTTAAATTATTTTCCTTTTTCTGACATATATTCATTGGCAAAACAACTGGTACTTTAAACAACACAGTTCTTTTAAGCAGTTTCAGTCAATGTCCAATCATCAGGCAGACTTCAAATTATTTTTTAGAATAGGAAAAAGTCTTACCTTGAATGATTGAGACAAATGCCTGAATGCTATCCTGTTCCTCGTGACGCCAAATGTAGACTTGGAATTAAAGCCTCTTGTGTTTCCCCGTTATTATTCAATTTACGGGACCGGACACCAGTTATCTTGCCAAGAAAGTTTTATTATATATTATATATGTCAGGAGAGAAACTTCAAGATGTTGTGTTCATGCCTGGTCTATGCGTTTCTCCATGTTCCTCTACCCTCTCACCCGGTCATGCCTACATGTTTCTCTAAGGGTGGTACAATGTGACATTGAGTTTTTATACATCACACAGTCTTACAGCTTCCTTGTAAGGTAACAAACATGTTGCTCTGAGCTTCTCAACTTAGAACGTAAATGTCATACGTGCGCTACTTTCCTTGTTGTGTACATCTGTGGTACACTTGCATCAGTGGAAACATTTATGCTGAGTGAACATGTTACATGGCACACATACCTCTCTGAGCAATATATAGCTTTCCCCTGACATATGTTCCTCATGCTTTTAACTCATGCTTTTTGAAACTCCAAAAGGATAATACAGTGATCATGAAAACTAATAAAGAATAATAATACAGATACATAATATTTAATAATGAAATAATATTAAAAGATGAAATTTTAGTCTTCAGCATTATTACAGACTCATTAGAGGGTGGAAACCGCGCAACATGAGCATGTTGAGGCTTGATCTGCCATGTGCACCGAACGTGATACCTCAATGCGCCATCGGAAGGCGTCACTATCAATCGCAGATCTACAGATCATGTGTGCAAAGACGTGCAATGCATTTTTGTGATTTTTTTGAGAAACGCATTTTGCGCATTTTGTACAGACTCATTAGAGGGTGAAAACAACGCAACATGCGCATGTTGGAGGCTTGATCTGACAATTTTACATCTCTGGTTTTGTATGCAAAAAGAATGATTGAGCTAGCCACTTGGTTTCAGTTTCTATAGGCTGTTAAACAGACACACGCAAACCGGAGCGCCGACGCTCCCGTCGGTCTTAAAGGGTTAAAAAAGGCGAACTTTGCGAAGTCAAATGCAGAATTAGATGGTGGCCTGAAGGAGGAGTCATGCCATTCGAACCACTTCCAGAATGGCCAGTCCAAGATGGCCTTGAACTCTTTCCTACTGTGGTTGATGTGCCAAATGGTGTGTTGAAAGTAGTGAATATTCCTGTCCTCAATCCCACTCAACATGACATTTACCTCCCTGCAAGGACAGTGTTGGGGACTATCACTCCGGTATCTGAAGTCCTACCCCTCGTTCTAAGTGGTGGTGTTAGAACAGGAAACACCAAGGAGGAATGTGAGATTCATGTAAATCAGTTGAGCCAAGTGGATAAGGAAAGTCAGTTACCAGTTGACAAAACGATTAAGTGGCACCCACCTGTCGAGTTGGAACACCTGTCTAAATCAGAGCAGGATATAGTTAGACGAATGCTTTACGAAGAATCTGATGTCTTTGCTCACGATGATGGAGATATAGGATGCATTCCAAATCTGAAGTTGAAGATATAATTTTAAAAGATGACACTTCAAATCAGAAATGCTACAATTCCATTCCAAAACCGTTATACAAGGAAGTTAAAGAGTACGTACAAAACCTCCTCGAGCGTGGCTGGATTAGGAAATCGTCCTCTGCATATTCCTCACCAGTGGTCTGTGTCCGAAAGAAGGACAGAAGCTTACGGCTATGTGTTGACTTTCGAGAGTTGAACCGGAAGACTATCCCGGATAGGCACCCACTACCGAGGATACAAGATTTGCTGGACTGTCTAGAAAGAATTCACATGGTTCTCAATTCTTGACCAGGGTAGTGCGTATCATCAAGGATTTGTGGATGAGGAGTCAAGGCAGATGACGGCATTAAGCACTCCCTGGGGACTCTATGAGTGGAAGCGTATCCCTTTTGGATTAACTAATGCCCCAGCCGCCTTCCAGAGGTGTATGGAGAGTGTTCTAGTGGGAATAAGAGACAAATGCTGTTCTCCTTACCTGGACGATGTTCTTTGCTATTCAAAAACCTTTCACAAGCATGTCGAAGACCTTAGGCAAGTGCTCTGCCGAATGCGTGAGTATGGTATTAAACTCCGACCAAAGAAATGTGAACTGTTCAAGGCGCAGGTCAGATACCTTGGTCGGATGGTGTCAGGAGAAGGCATTGAGATTGACCCGAAGGATCTGGAGGCTGTAGAGCAATTGAAAAAGAAAGAACCAAAAACAGTGGTGGAAGTTAGAACACTATTGGGGTTTCTGAGTTACTACAGATCCTTCTTCCAGGATTTCTCAAGGATAGCGAAGCCACTG